ATCCAAGCAAATTGGGCCTGTGAGCTTGGGGTATTTGGTTGGATTATAGTTGCATGGAGGTATAGTTGAAGCTTTTTAGCCTGAGAGTTAATTGTTAAAAGATGAGATAAATGTGCATTGGATGTATTTGATAAAAATAATTGGTGTATTAAGTTATTTGTAAATATTGAAGTAGTTGATAATTAAGGATTATTTTTGTTAGTTGAAACCATAGTAGAATGTAGAGTTGATGTTTTATGTTGGTGCCATGATAATATTTGTGTTGTAAAGTGTGGATGATGTTGTGCTAGGTCATTAATGTCTGTATGGAGAAATTTTGCACTAGACACTTTGATGGCTATGCACTGAAATGTTTTAAGCATTATTATGCATTGCTGGTTAGTAGTAGTAATAGTGTTTTTGTAGTTCATACATTTCAATAGTAGGGCTATGTATTGATGCTCTGATGGTGGTAAGCAATAGTGTTTAATATATATTGTATTGCTTATCTTTCTTATTAAAATTTTATTATCTGTCCAGAATAAAACGAATCTGATTGGTTAATCCTAGGTCCCATGACCAGTGCATGTTATTTTGATATAAGTATCATATCACAAATACATGAGTATGCATTTTGGTAATTTACACACAATGCGTAATTAATTATTAATTAATAATTATTATGTTAAAGTTCAGTTATTGGTTTTTATACTACTTATTAGTTCATACTTATTAGTTTCAATGAGTATCGCATTCTGACTTGCATTTTCTTCCATATGATATTATACTTAATTTATGCTTATAATGCATCGATATTTGAATTCACCAGGGTGATCATGAAAAGCTTGGGTCATGTAATTATCAACAAAATAAGTTAAAATTAGGGTTTGGGCTAGAGTTAATGTTTGGGCTAAGGTTATTAAGTTTATATAATAGTAAAATTACTTCAGGAATTTTTATATTAGAGTCTAATGACCAGTTTCTTGTGCAAATTTTTAGGATAAACCATTTTTTGACAAACAAACTTTTGTTTTGGATTGCCTGGTTGTGTTACATTACACTAAATTACAGTACATCATCATTAGTTAAATCGTTGTCAATCATTACATGACTCAAACCTTTTGTGGTCACTCTGACACATCTATAAATTCAATCTGCATAGTCTAATGCATATTTTATTCTCAGCTTTTGTAAATTTTATTCATTTCCGTAATATGCCACGAAAGGCATGTTACCTTAAAGAAGAAGAATAAAGAAAGGCAAATGCTGATAGAAAGCGCAAAAACAGAATTATGAAAATGGAAATACAATGTTACCAAAGATGCCAGCAAAATGTGGATGCTCATTGACAGTGTCATATTAATAATAATTCTCATACATACAACTTGGCCCGTAACTTCTCTGAAGGTGCTAAAGGTGCAAATTCAGATAACTCTTCTCTTTCGCACTATATAGACTTTAATAGCAGAGCTAACTGTATTCATTGCAATGAATTATTATTGCCTATGGAAAGTCCTGGAATGTGCTATTCAAATGGGAAGGTAGTACTAACAGAATCAGATGCACCTATATTTTTAAAGCACCTTTTTTCCAGTCATGATAATAAATCTAAAGATTTTTGATATAACATTCATCTTTATAATTCTGCATTCACTTTTATGTCTACTGGTGTTAAAATCGATCGTGAGCTTGCTAATGGAAAAAATGGTGTTTATACTTATCGTGTTCAAGGTTCTTTTTATCATAGAATTGGTGTACTATGGCCAGAAAATGGTGTTGAACCTTGCTATTTACAAATATATATTTATGACACACAACATGAACTACAACATCGAATAAACGCAATTCCAAACTCTAATTTAGACTCAACTATTATCCAAAATTTAACAACTATGTTTGACAAAATAAACTCCTATGTAATAAATTTTTGATACATTTCTAAACTGTTTGCTGAAAACTTTAGATGCTTATCCATGCTTATTTGTGCCGATATTCCTGGCCTTGATCAAAGAACTTATAATAACCTGACAGCTTCTCAGGTCACAGCAATCTGGGTTAACAGTGAAATGCCTTCTAATATAGTTCAAAAGCATGACATTGTACTGCATACAAATATAGATCAATATGTACATATTTCTGAGCTTAATAGATGTTATAACCTACTAGCTTATCCAATTTTATTTCCATATAGTGAGCAAGGATGGGCTCCCTATCGGATTCCCTATAAAAATATTTCCCTGATACCTGAAATAACTAATGTTAATATAGATTCAGAGGAATATATAGAGAATGAAAATAGAGATATCATTGATGAAACTTCTGATGATGATAATAGAAATAATATAGAAAATGGAAATAGTAGCATAAAACAATGTAGAAAATTCATGAGCGCAATGGAATTCTATGCGTATAAGCTTCAAATTCAACCTATGTCTAATAATCTACTTTTACAAGCCGGGCGACTATTTCAGCAATACATAGTTGATATGTATGTTAAGATAGAATCAAATTGCCTAAGCTTTCATCGAAAAAATCAAAACAAGATTAGAAGTGACTTATATCAAGGTCTTCAGAATGCAGTTCTACGTGGTGATAATGTTCCAAGGTGCATTGGTCAGAGAGTGGTTCTTCCTGCTACTTTTATTAGAAGCCCTCACGATATGATTCAGCAATACCAAGATGCAATGGCCTTATTAAATATTGGTAGGCCTGATTTATTTATCACCATGACGTGTAATCTACACTGGCCAGAAATTCAAGCACTAATGCTATCGGGACAAAAAGCTCAAAATCGATCAGATATTTTAGGTAGTTTTAGAAGCATTCATAATTTAATTTTTTTATATTTTTTTTTTTTATTTATTTTTAAAATTTTAATTTTTTTTATAATACACATGGGATAATATATATATGTATGGATTAATATTATTACTTTATAAATACTTCTCTATTGTATCATATTTGTCTTCACTTTTTGTAGCACGAATTTTTTGAGAAAAGCTCCAAGAATTAAAAAAGGATCTTTTTGAGCATGGTGTTCTTGGACGTGTTATTGTGCATATTTATGTTATCAAATTTCAAAAACAGGGACTCTCACACACCCATATTTTGGTTATACTACATCCTGAAGACAAGCCACAGACAACTGAAAACTATAATGCTATTGTTTGTGCTGAGATACCCAACTCGGTAGTTAATCCCAAAGTATATGATTCTATTTCTAAACATATATTTCACAGACCATGTAGAGAACTCAACCTTAATGCACCATGTATGATTGATGATGGCATGGTGTTCCAAAGGGTATCCTAAGCAATTCCAAAATGAAACATCTCAGGAAAAGAATTCTTATCCTATATACCATCATCGTCAGAATAATCATTATGTTGAAATAAGAGTAGGAAGTAAAATAGTCAAGTTAGATAATCGATGGGTCGTTCCATACAATAACTTCCTCAGTGCAAAGTACAACTGCAATATTAATGTAGAAATCTGTGCTAGCATTAAAGCAGTTAAATATTTATTCAAATATGTTTATAAAGGTCATGATAGGGTCATAATTGAAGTTACTGAGGAACAGCAGCATCATGAGACACAAGAACAACCAGTTACAATTAACAAAATTTGAAATTTTTTAGATGCACGATAGATCTCTGCTTCAGAAGCAGTCTGAAGAATTCTAGAATTTAGAATAAATGAAATAAATCTGGCTGTTACACATTTGCACTTACACCTTCCAAACCAAAAAAGAATTATTTTTAGTGGAAGTAATGTCCTTACTAAAGTGATTGAAGTGAATCAGAATAATCGTACAACTCTCACTGAGTACTTTAGAATGAATGCAGAAGATCCAAATGCAAGAAATCTGCTCTATGCTAATTTTCCACTATATTATACTTGGAATAAGGCAACTAAGAGGTGAAAAAAGCGTAAGTGTGAAGGTTGTATTGAGAGAATTTATATGGCGCACCCAAATGAAGGTAAGTAAATACGATTTTAATTTTATTTAATAAACTAACAAATTAAATTTATTATTAAGAGTTATATTATTTTTCCAATATGTAATTTAAGTCACTGTTTATCTAATGATTATTATCAGTAATTTATTGCTACAAGTTATAACAATCACTTTTTTTGCAATTATTCTAATAATATTAAATATATAGTGTGATGAGATAATCTAAAAATAAATTTTAGGTAAATGATTATGTTAGAAAATATAAGGTAAATAATCATTATATAAACAGGAATCTGAAGAATACTTACTGAAAAAATAAAATAACTAATTATTGATAAAGGTAAATAAACAAAGGATCTCTGAGCTTAACGCTAAATTAATGTACTCTTAGAGTTTAGAACTGGCTTTATTTTCATATATTAAATTGGTTTTAATATATAGAAAATAATTCCAGTTCTAAACTCTTATACTACTAGGTGAACGATATTATCTTCGATTATTATTGACCAAAGTAAAGGGTGCCAGGAGTTTCGAAAAACTCAAAATAGTAAATGGCATTACATGCACTACTTTTAAGGAAAGTGCCCAGTGTAGAGGTTTTCTAGAAAATGATAATGATTACCGACAGTGTATGGCTGAAGCAAAAAAATTCTGAATGCCTAACCAACTACATGCACTTTTTACAATGCTATTGATTTTCAGAGAAATTTCAGATGTACATCAATTATGGGATGAAAATTTTGAAGCAATGGTAGAAGACTTTATGCATAGAGGGATTCCAAATGGTCAATTTCAAATTCAGGCAACACTTCAAAGCTTAAATATCTTATTGCAGAGACATTCAAAAACTGTTGTTGATTATGACTTACCAGAATTGCTGCCTGAAACTATTAATAGAGAATTACCAATAATGCTTATAGAAGAATTGTCTTATAAAGTAACATCAGATGACCTTGCTAAAGCAAATACATTGAATGAATCTCAGCGTGCAGTATTCGACACGATACTTAATCTTATTAATCAAAGCAAGAGTGGCATACTATTTATAGATGGTTCTGCTAGAAGTGGAAAGACCTACCTTTATGATTGTTTTCTCTCTCATGTACATGCTAACAATCGAATTGCATTAGCAGTAGCTTCTTCTGGAATAGCAGCATTATTATTGCGTAATGGATGTACAGTGCATTCTCGCTTTAAAATATCAATCACAATTCTTGATGAAAATGCAACCTGTAATATTGAAAGAGAAACTGATTTAGCAAAATTACTTCAAGAAGCTGCATTAATCATTTGGGATGAGGTTTTAATGACACATCATCATGCTTCAGAGGCAGTTGATAGTACTTTAAAAATATTATGAAAAATAATCTTCCATTTGGTGGTAAAGTAATTTTGTTTGGAGGTGACTTTCGGCAAGTTCTACCTGTAGTCATAAAGGTTCTAGAGCCCAAATTGTCAATGCCGCTCTCAATAAATCTCATTTGTGGCAACATATTCATGTCTTTTCCTTATTCACTAATATGTGAGTCTCTTAAACCACATCTCATGAGACAAAGGCATTTGCAGATTATTTACTTAATATTGGTAATGGCACAGAACCAACAATTGAAAATAATCTAATTCGCCTTTCTAATGAAATAGTTATTTACTCGCAAAGCAATGAGGACTCTATTAACTCACTAATAGATGCTGTGTATTATAATCTTGCTGAAAATGCTACAAATACTACATTTATAACCGAGAGAACAATATTAACCTCATTAAACAGCGATGTTGAAAAACTCAATAAACAAATAATGGCTAAGTATCCTAAGAATCATATACGTATTACAGCTTCTATTTAGTGCCAGAGGATAATCTTAACTTATATCCTATTGAATACCTTAATTCTCTGACACCTTAAGGCCTTCCTTCACATGAACTTGCACTAAAAATTTGCACTCCAATTATGTTACTTAGAAACCTTGATCCTGTTAATGGACTCTGTAACAGGACAAGGATTATATATAGGGAATTTCAAATACAAACAATCATGCAGAAATAGCAATGAGTGACCATCAAGGAAAACATGTATTCATTCCCAGAATCCTTCTTCTATCATCTGAAGATATAGGATTGCTGTTTGTATTAAAAAGAAAACAATTTCCTGTGAGGCCAGCATTCGCTTTAACTATCAACAAGTCTCAAGGTCAAACTTTATTTCACGTTGGCCTATATCTTCCTAAGCCAGTCTTCTCTCATGGCCAGTTATATGTTGTTATGTCAATAGTGCATAAAAAAAGTAATTTAAAGGTATTGGTCAAGAATAGTTCAATCAAAGGTAAAGTTGAAACTTATACACAAAATGTTGTATTTAGAGAATCTTTAATATTATAAAATATCATATTGAAAATCAATATTTGATATTTTCTTTATTATATAACTAACTATTCTCTTATATCCTAAGTAATTATTATGATAAATATAGGAAAACAACAAATATTAGCTAACTATAAATTACTGTAATTAATAATAAACTTATGAAAACTGATATTTGTTGCTTTCTTAAAGTAAAATACTTAAATTAATTATTTAAGACATTTGTTAATCAAAAAAATCTTTAATAAAGTAGCACTTTTTAAAATTTAATATCAGCAATGACAATAAATTTTATTATGAAAGATGGTTACTACTGATACTAAATCCTAAAATAGCATGAACTAAGATGTTTTTTAATTGACAATAATTTTGTTTTAAATAATTTAACAAAAGTTGTAATGCTATAGTAATTATTTTTCCCTTTTTTTATAAGTAACTCTTCTAGGCACATTCTCTGTGCTTAAAAAATTAAATAATATATCAGCCGATTTAGCAACTATTTAATTTCAGGGTGCTTGATCGAAGATTGATATTAAAAAATTACATAACAGCAAGATATTGTTAATGTTAACTTTTGAATGATCAAAATTTAATTTTAGATCAAATAATAATAAACCGAATATATAGAAATTAATCAGATAATATTACTTAAAACTATATTTATTTTTTTTTTTAAATATTAACAGTAACTATATTTATTTCAGTATATGTATAATATAGATTTAACTATTACTTAAATATTGTTAACGGAAATTAATCAATCAAATTAATTATAACTGAACAGTTATATAAAAATTTAATTTTATTATAGATAAGATGTTGAACTTAAAGCTACTAACTTCACATTATAAATCGAATTAGTTAAAACATAATAATTAAAATTGTATATCAACTTGGCAGTTTTGTGAAATTTGACCTTTATCTAACTAGATATGGGTTTTAAATACAAGATCCAAATATATGAATCTGCTGTATAATACTAAAATATTAGGAATTTAAATGAGTAATACTGAGAGAAACAATCCAATCTGAAGTATGTATTTAAATAAGGTCAAATTCTACAAATCTACTTAATTGTACATATATATGCACATAGTATATACAATAAACATTTTTGAACACAAATAATTCCATTTTACTCATATAAAATTAATTAATAAACGTTCTTTATACATACCCACGAATACATATCTATAAACTAAATTTGTAATGCGAAGTATTAATTTCATGAATTAAAACATAATATAATAGTAATAATGAGAAATAGATCCACAATATTGATAACTGATAAATAAAATAAAAAATAAATATCTATAATATTTATTTAAAATTTAAGACATGTTAACAAATATATTAATTTTATATAGTACATTATATTCATATTTCCTTATCAAACTATATTTATAATTAAATAATTAATTTACTATAATAGTTAAATAATTATCAAACATTAATACATATCAGCAAATTTGCGCAATTTAATAAACATCGGACCTATTAGTTATAATTTCAGTCAAAATCTGAAACAAAATATTTTAAAATTTTAATAATATAGATTAACAATTTTGATTAAAATTATAACTGATCGGTTTATTTATTAACTGTGCAGAACTATTAGCATGGACGTAAGGATATGCCTATCTGCTAGTATGAATGATTTTTTGTATTTTGTCTATGATCTGAGTTTTGTTGGTTTTTCCTAGAACCCAGGTGCTTCTTTTTAGTATAATAGAATTTGTAGTAAATGGGTTAGGAGTAATACTAAGAATAAATGGTATTGTAGATGTATAGAAGGTATTGTGTAATTTAAGAAACTATTTTGGAGTTCTACTTCTAGGTATCTTAAATGTTTTATATGCAATGCATTGCTATAGAACTAGTTGTGTGTTTGTATAATTAGTAAGTTGTTCAATAGCATAGATGTTTGCTTTGTTAGTTAATGATTTGATATGTGTTAGTTTGTTGCAGAATTTAATTAGTGTATTGATTAGGGTGCCTTTGTATATAGTTGGTATAGGCCAAGAGTTGGAAAGGTTTTCTATATAAATATTAAGCTGATGTGCTGTTTGAATAGTTTGGGCTGTAAGTATATTGTGAAATTTGGTAGATAGTATATAGTTAAGAGTAATTAAAATGTTGTTTGATAAAAGTATAGCATTCTGGAGGTGTTAAATGATAATTTTGATTGATAGGGCTGTTAGAGTGTTGTTTAGTTGTGTGTGAAGTGATAAGATGTGGTTTTGTGTTTGAATATCAGTTAAACTGCAAAGGTTATAAATTTGGTGGTAAAGTATAGTGAAGTTTGGTATTGTTGAAACAAGTCCAGCTTTGTGCTTTACTTTACCACTTGCATATATAAATTAGTTATGCCTTGCATAATGGATTGGTGCATAAATATGTTCATAGTCCTATATGAGAAGTAGGATACAAGTACCATGTTAACTATATAAATTGTTTGTTTTTCAGTAATCTTTTTGTTTTTTATAGTATTAATCAGATTTGTAGCTTCAGTAGTGATCTGATTATGAATGTGTTTGTGATGATTCAAAAGTGTAAACCAGCAGCCTAAGTATCGAAAGGTTTGTTTTAAAGGTATAATATGTATAATTATGTTTGCAAAGTTGATTATAGAATTCAGATCTTAGTTTGATTTCTACAAGAATTGATTTTGTAGGGTTAACTGTAATGTTAGCCATATTATAGAAGGACTTAGCTGTTGTAACAATTTGTTGCATAGTTTGTTTGTCAGGAGCTAGCTATAAGGTATCATCCATGTAGACAAGGACTAAGATATAATATGTAAGTAGTTGATTTGTAAAAGAGAATATTGTTAACATATTATATTTATGAAATTTGGAATGGATATGAGTAATTAGAGGATCATAATATATGCACCAAAGCAAAGGTGTAATAGTCTCTCCTTGGTTTATACTATCTTGAATATGATAGCTGGATATAAGACCAAGATTTGTAATAACTGAGTTGTAGCAATTGTTGTGAATATTTATTATGAGTTAAGATATGTTTTGAGGAATTTTTATATGATTTAGTGCATATTGAAGAAGTGGAATATGTACAGAATCATATGCTTTACTTATGTCCTGAACTAAAAACCAGATTTCTTTATTTTGTATATGTGTTTCTTGAAGTATATTTGTAAGTATTTGTATGGGTTGTATGGTAGAAGAATATGGTAAAGCAACAAAGTTATGTGGATCAAGGATAGGGTATTTGGACATTATTTGGGTAAGTCTGTTAGTGATAAGTTTTGTAAAAAATTTTCATGTATGCTCAAGAAGAGTAATAGGCCTTGTATGGTTAAGTTGGCCTGTAAAAATGGGTTTTTTAGAGATTGAATAAATTTTGCTCTGTTTTCAGGCAGTTGGTATGTCTGTAGTATTTAAACACTTGTTAAATAAAATTGTAAGAAGCTTGATAATATGAGGATGAGTGTGTTTGAGCATTTTATTAGAGATTATTGTTGGTCCTGTTGCTTTTTTGTTTGGTGCTAAGTTGATTGTATTAATTATTTCTTGTTGGGTTATAGAATCTAATAGTGTGTTGTACTATAAGGGAAGTATGTTAGTTTTGGAGTTGTATTCATCATTTTATTGTTTCCAGAGAGTTGAATTATGTGAATTATATTTGGTCCAGTTTGCAAAATGGTTTTTAATATGTTGACGGATCTCTTTTGGCTCTGTAATTATTGAGTCCTAAAGTTTTATATTATTAAATAATACTGGGTTATTGTGGCAGTTAATTATACTATTAATCATAGTTGTTGTGTTTGAGGTAAAATTGTTGTAGTGTGTTTGAATATGTTGTTCAATTTGTTGTGGGATTGTCTGTTTGTTTTCTAAATCACAGATATGATATAGTGTTTTGTGATGGTTTTTTATTATATTAATAGTAGAAGAGAGTTGGTTAGAGTTGATGTTGATCATGGTGAGAGGTGTGATAGATAGGTTTGTTAATAGTTGTATAGTTTGTATTTTTTGATTGATACTATTAATGATGGCAGTATTAGTTAAGTCATTGTTATCAGGAGTATACTTAAGAGTTATAAGGATTTGAAGTATACTGTTACAAATGTTTAGTGCAGTATGTGTTTTTGAAGCAGTAGGTAAGAAGCTTTGAAATTGTTTTGGAAACAGAAGGTAAAGGATATATATGTTTGCTGCAGTAAGCACTGTTGATTGGATTTGATGCCAGAATTGATTTATTGTAAGTGCAGAAGCTGCTACTTTAGTGAGAGAAGATAAAAGTTGATAACTTTTTTGCTAAAACTGTTTCCATAGTTCATTGGTTATAGAGTCATATTTAAATATTTTATATTTATATTTTTTGTATCATTTGGCTGATTTGATTTGTATTTGAAAATCAGTATAGATAATATAGTAATCACTATCTGTAATTTCAATTGGATTAATAATGTTAGGAGTTGTAAATATATATAAGATTTGTTGTAGGACCCAGATTTTATCAA